GTAGTAGTAGTAGTAGTAGTAGTAGTAGTCGTAGTCGTAGTCGTAGTCGTAGTCGTAGTCGTAGTAGCAGTCGTAGTAGTAGTAGCAGTAGTAGTAGTAGTAGTAGTAGTAGTAGTAGTAGCCCTGAGTCGCCGAAAGATCGTTCCAAGACGCCCAAGATGGCCTCCAGACTGCCGTCGCGCCAAGAAACCGCGGGGAGATTCAGGAGGCCCTCCAAGAGCCTGAACAAGCAAAAACCCCCCAGACATTTCCCAAGGCCTCCTGGAACGCCCCGGCGCCCAATGAATTGGCGAGCTAAAAACGTGCGCCGAGCCAAAGCGGGAGCGCAATTTTGAGAAAATTTCGCTCGGCGCCCAAGCGAGAATGTCATTTCATTCGTTTCGAGCGGGGGGGGGGTGTGCCGCGCCCAATTCTTGCCATGCACTTTTGCGGGGTGGACGACAAACGCAGCTATGTGGGCAAGCGGAAATCAGCATGGCATTGCTTCTGACAAGTAAGGTGGCCCCTCCCGCCTTGGGGTTGCCCCAGAAGTCCGCGCGCGATGTGCGCCGCGCCCCGTTCCTGCCACGCATTTCGCATCGTCGACGACAAGACAGGCCATGATGAAAGGACGAACGGCAACTCTGCATTGTTTTTTGCAGTCAGGATGGGAGGGCCCGCGGCCCGCATGGACGTCCGCGCGCGATGCGCGCCGCGTCCCATTCCTGCCACATATTTCGCACCGTCGGCGACAAGGCAGGCCATGCTGAGAGGAAAAAGCGGAGATTGTGTATTGATTTTTTACAGTCAGGATGGGCGGGCCCGGATTGACGGCCGCGCGCGATGCGCGCCGCGTCCCATATGTGCGCCGCGTCCCACTGCTGCCACATATTTCGCACCGTCGGCGACAAGGCAGGCCATGTTGAGATGAGCAAAGGAAGACTTTATATGGTTTTTTACAGTCAGGATGGGCGGGCCCAAATTGACTGCCGCGCGCGATGTGCGCCGCGTCCCATTCCTGCCACGCTTTTCGCATCGTCGACGTCAAGAAAAACGATGTTGAGAAAAAGCGGCCACTTTGTATTGATTTTTTAAAGTCCGGATGGGAGGTCCCGGATTGGGCCCCTATCGGTCGGAATACGAGGCAGGTGGGGGTATATTCTAATAGTGAACAAGGATGGGGTGGGGTGGGTGGGGTGGGGGTGGGTGGGTGGGTGGGTGTGGGAGGGGGTGGGGTGGGGTGGGGTGGGTGGGCAAGAGGAGGTTGTAGGAGGTGGGGGGGGGGGAGGAGGAGGAGGAGGAGGAGGAGGAGGAGGGAGGAGGAGGAGGGAGGAGGAGGAGGAGGAGGAGGAGGAGGAGGAGGAGAGGAGGAGGAGGAGGAGGAGGAGGAGGGAGGAGGAGGAGGAGGAGGAGGAGGAGGAGGAGAAGGAGGAGGCGGAGAAGGAGGAGGAGGAGGAGGACGAGGAGGAGGATGAGGAGGAGCAGTTCGAGGAGGACGAGGCGGAGGAGGAGGAACATGAGGAGGACGAGGGGCGGGTGGACAAGGACGGAGAGCACGAACGGGCAGAGCTGCAAGATGAGGAGGGGGATGATGATCACGCAAGAAGGGCTGGCTAGACGTAGAGTGTGAGGAAGGACTGGGTGGTAATGGCAATGATGATGCTGATGCTGGTGATGATTAGGATGAGGTGGATGGTGCTGATGATGATGATGCTGATGATGATGATGGTGATGATGATGATGATGATGATGATGATGATGATGATGATGATGATGATGATGATGATGATGGTGTTGCTGATGCTGATGGTGAGGAGGATGCTGATGACGATGATGATGCTGCTGCTGATGATGATGGCGATGGTGATGATGAAGAATGGGAGTTGGATGGTAGGATCAGGACGAGGAAGGAAGGGGCCTGGGAGGATTACGTACGCTTTAGGGACAACATGCTGATTAGGATGTTGATGGTGATGATAATGAAGAGAGGATGTCGATGAGGAGACGGGAGCGGGACGACGACGAGGATGATGATTCCATCGAAAAGGCGGCGAGAGATAAGGTCGGGAATAAGGCCTAGGGCCAACAGGGCCCAAGAGAAAGAGAATGGGGACATGATGAGTCTGGGGTGGGGTGGGGGGATGGAAGAAGGAGGGGGAGGACGTGACAGTGGAAAAGGAGCAGGCAACGATCAGCAGGAAGGGGGGGGACAAGTGCGACAGGGAAGGACGGGGGGAGGAGGACGAGGACGAGGAGCGTGAACGGGACGAGGGCGCGGGCAGCGGGGCAGATGAGGAGGGACGGGGGAGAACGAAGGCGGGGAGAAAAGTTTGGAGGGGGCATAAGAGCGGCACGGGGAAGAGCAGGGTACTCCAGATTTCGTAATAAAGGGAGGGGGGTCTCATTTCGGGGGGGGGTCTCTTCCAGGCTATCTTGGAGGGCCTGGGGGGGTCTGGGGACGATGTTTTGGAGGGTTCTCCCACGGGGGGGGTCCGAAACGGCTTGTCTTGGAGGGTCCAGACCCCCTCCCTTTTATTACGAAATCTGGAGTAAGGAGGAACGTGAGGACGGCGTGAGGGAACGGCAGGCGCTGGCGTGCGGCGTTGGGGAGTGCATCGGCCGGCGGATGTTGCCAGGCAGGCCCCTTCTGCTGGCTCGTGCCTTTGGTTTGTGTGTCCATGGTTTTACTTGTGTTTCCCCCTGCATGTTTTTGTGCCTGCTGTATGTGCTTTGACTCTGCTCCTTCTGTTCTGTCACATCTTCTTCCATTCGCTGTCGCTCTTCTCTTGTCCTTGCCCTCCCCATGCTCAAATACCTATTTCAATTTTCGCTGTCCTCTGCCGCTCCATCTTCCTCTTCGCCTTCCTTTTCGTACTCTTTTCTGTTGTGCCCTCGTCTGACTCCCGCCTCGTCTTACTGGGGCGCTGTCTTTCCAGTGGCCTCTGGCACCTAGTGCACACAGTCGTCGGTCTTGTTTCTTTCCTCCCGCTGATTTTTCCATGTCATACAAGCTTTCATGGCAGCGGAAGACAATGCTTGATACCTAGCTGCTGGTTGCAACTTGCACAACAGTGCAAACGTGACATTGAGAGGTATGCAGGATGGTTCTTCTGGTCCCCCCGCAGGCCCCATGGGCTCTAACGGGGTGTCTTGGGCAATATGTTTTTACCAACCTCTCCGACAGAGGCTTGGAAAAACCATCTTGGGTCCGTTCGGTAAGCAGCACTGCGATTCCGCGGCACGGCGTAGGTGTAACCTTGTATGGTTGGTGCGTTCCCTCCTGAAGGCGTGATGATGCTCTGGTTTGCGTAAGCATGACTGATTACGACAGCGCCCGAAATTAAATTCTCGGATAGATCCTTGGAGAGCTCATCGGGTTTCAGATTAGAAGCCGGCAGGCAAGGGTAGGCCAGGTTCCTCTCCCAGCTGCCGTTCAGGGAGCGCTGCAGCGAGCTGCCTGGTGTTGCGGCTTGTCCCAGGAGGCCTTTCCTAATCCCAATTGCGTGTGCAGTGAAGCGTTCCAGCAGCTTCTCCCAAAGGCTTCCACACCTTTTTCGAAGGAGTTTTGGAAGGCCTCTCTGGTGCCCTGCTACCAGGTTTTTGGACACCACAAGGCGGGCTTGATTTGTGGTGCCATGAGTAAGCGGACGAAGACGCACTGCGGGGCACGACGGTGTTGTCGGGCGTTACGGTAGACTGAGCGTGATCTAGTTTTGGGCCGACAGCGGTGCCAGGGATCTATTGTGGGGTATCGTGGGGCGATCGACGAGAGCGTGATTTGAATGAAAATCTTTTTAGAAAAGCAAGAAGCTACATAACATAACCCTTCAGAGGACGGCACAGATTTCTTGTGTCAGCGCTGAGCCCGGTTTCTCGCACCCCTTTCTCCTGTTCGCGGAGCGCACTGTGGACGGCGCCGCAGATACGGTAAGGAGTTGGTTCGGGAAGAGCTCCAGCACCGACCCGATAGGTTCACGCGGACCTCCGAAATGTTGAGTTTGAGGGTCATCCTGATGCTGCGGCCATCATGTAGAGCGCACCTTTCCAGTCCGCCCAAATTGGGTCGAAGTAGATGGGAGTGGAGGATCGGGCTGCATCGCCAGTGCATCGGCGAGGCGACTCGATGCGGAGCCTGAGTTTCTCTACGCCGAAGTCGCCGATGCGTCGACGAGGTGTCTGCGACGCGGCGCGATCCTCTGGCCCTATTCGGACCCTGTTGGGGGGGCCCGCGTACCTTGTAAACGTCCACTGGTTTGCTCGCGCGCCGCGCATGTGCTGCCTTTGCCCGCGCGTCACTCGCGTTGCCCATTTCGGCGGCCCTCCCGGGTCGTCCACCTTGCGGGCAATTTTGGCGAGTGGGGTATGCATGACGAAATTTGTATGCCTTCCCTGTGCATGGAGCCGGCGACGCCGGTGGCTTCGCATCGCCGGTCGCTGCTGTTTCGCCACCCTTTTGCCGATGCACCTCTGACGTGCACGTTTTTTTTTTTTTTTTTTTGTTTTTTTTTTTTTCTCTCTCTCTCTGGGCGAGCATCGTGCCTCCGGTGCCGATCCTTTCCTGGGCGGCCAGGGTGCGCGGCGGCCCCGCAGGCATGGGCGGCATGGAGTCCATCACGGCCTCCGAGGAGGCCCGCACGCTCCCTCTTCTCCGCAGCGGCAGGCTCGCCTCGATCTGGAGGGGGGAGGTGTTCCATGCCTCCCAGGTGGGCTCCCAGCAGATGGGGTCGGAGGATCACGCCGCATCGCCGATGCATTGGTGATGCGGCTCAATGTGGAGCCAGAGCTTCTCTGCGCCGACGGCGCCGATGCATTGGCGACGCAGTGCGATCCCCCGTCACCATGTACTCGGGACCCCATTTGGGAGGCCACCAGATGTACCCATGCCGCTGCCTTTCTGCCGAGGAACATAACTGAGCATAGGCGCCGCCAGGGGAGGTTCAGGAGCCGATCCATGAAATCCGCGCGGACCTCCGAAAGTGGGTGTTTGTGTAATTTTTTGTTTGCTCCGTATTTTTTCGAACACCGCTGCCATTCCTTCTTCGTTTTTCTGGGCGGGCCTCCTTGGGGGCCCTCGTCGCTACGGCTGGATTCGCCCCATAACCCTGGTCGAATCTCACACTAGGAGGGGTCCAGACAGCAGCGGTACCTGTATTGTATCTGTTTGTTGCCTCATTTGCGCTGACCGTCGGGACAGAGTCGCACGCTGTTGATGAAATCGTGGTCCTTTTCGAGGGCCAGGACGACGAGAGGAGGGTGACGACCAGTGGTCCCTCGCCCTCCTCAATCTGCCACTGCTGATCCTCCTGATGCCCGAATCTGAGTAGGCTGCACGGGCCTCCCTCCTAAATATGGGATGCAATTGCCGGAAGCCTGAGCTGAGTGGTAGGGTCTGAGCATGCACTCAGGGTTTCCGCCAGGATGAATTCCATGAGTTCCTCACCCCCCTCCTCCTCTTCCGCGGTGCCCCCCCTCCTCCTCTTCCCTCCTCCTCCTCCTCGTCGTCCGTAGCCATTTTGGCTCAAGATGACTGGTTCCCTTGGGATCCAAGTGGATACCGCTAATCCGCGGCAGGCAAGGCACTTCTGCCTGGCATCCTTTCCCTGCCTTCACCGCGGGAGTTGGGCACCCGCTCGCCAGACCTGCTTTCTTTTGATCGTGGAGTACGTATGTCTGCGCCGAGTGATTCTGATTTGCTTGCTCTGGATCTTGCACCGACGTTCCCTGAGGGTGAGACGGAGCACAAGGCGGAGCACAAGTACCAGCGCCTCGTCGCCAAGGGACCGCTCTCTCCTGAAGCTCAGTACCCAGGCAAGGGACCCCAGGCTGTTGGGCATGGATCGTCTGCTATGGGTTCGACGCCTGGTTCTGTTGTTGGTGGGTCTAATCCTGGCTCTAGCTTTTTCTCTGGAGGCAAGCCGTTGGGTGGTGACTGGCGCAACCTCGGTGGGCCTCCCCTCTGCAGCCCTATGCTCCGAGGACTTTGTCAGACAACTCGTTGCTGGGGGTATCTCGGCCGAATTCGAGCAGCTTAAAGTTCAGTTGCCCCAGCTTGTGCGGCACACAGTTGGGCAGTCTGTCCAAACGAGCAATGAAGGCATCCTCAACTCGCTCGCTGCGATACGATCTCAGATCGAACAGCGTCCCGCTCAACTTGATCAAGAAGTTCTCGCTATTGTCAGGCCACAACTGGATGAGATGGGTAGGAGATTTCAAGCTCAGTTTGACGACTTTGTGTTACGGATGGATGGTGCCACGGCAGCTACTGACAAACATGATCAGCAGTTACTCTATTTGCGGCAGCAGGTGCGTAAGATACGCGCCAGCCTCGTCTTGGCACAGAGCGTTGAGAGGCAGCCGCCTCCCAGCCCTGCGTTCAACAGAGATGTCGACGGAACGGTTGTGGTGGTCATGGCCAGCAAACTATGTGGTCTCGAAACAGTTCGGTCCTCCCTTACTCCTTTCCTGCGCGAGCTCAATTTTGAAGAGTCAGAGTGTCAACTCCGAGCGCTTGGTCCCCTGCCAGCTCGGCGTTTCGTCGTCGCATTTGGTGGAGCTGCTGGTCTGGCATCGCGTAAGGTCGGCAAGGTTCTCGCTCACCTCAGGCGCGACGATGGGTGGCGTGTTTTCCCTGTCCAAGTCTCAGGCTCCGAGCCTGGGCGCCTCCACTTGGGTCCTGACAAGAGCCCGTGCCAGGTCAAGACGGAGATGGCGCTCAAACGGATACGTGGATCAGTTGGAGACGCTTTCCCACAGGTTCGGCGGGCTATGGATCGTGAACAAAGTATCCTTAAAGGTGGGTGGACAAACCTCACCAATATCAAAGTTCAACCAGGTGATGAGCCGTTCGAGGTGGCCCACAATGATGCGGGCCTGCAGCAGCTGCAGATCGATCGGGTGGCTTTATCGAGAGCTGTGGAGGCGGCTATTGCGCCGCCTGAAGCTACTGCGTGGTCTCTTTGACGGGCTGGTTGGGTTATTCTCCTACCCCGATAGGCATGGACGAGTGCAGTTCGTGTCGTGGAATGCTCGAGCTCTTCTCCAGAGGGGTGGGGCCCGTGCCCAAAGTAATATGGGGTACAACAGGAAGTTGGATCTTCACCATTCTGTCCTTTGCCTTCAAGAAGTTCATGCTGATAGAGGGCAGCTTGTGGACTGTGTGGCTAAAGTCTCGCTTGGTTTTATTGTTCATGCTTCATTTTGTCGGCGCAGGGATGAGCTTTTCAGCCGTCGAGCACCTGAGGTATGTTCTGGGCGTGGTGGGGTTGCAGTGGTTCTACCTCCATTGGCTGCTGGCTCTGTGAGTTGGTCTACGGAGCTGATTCCTGGCCGCGCCTTGCGGGTGGATGTGCATAGCTCGGACTACGCATTGGTCGTGATTTGTGTTCATAGCTATGATATTAGTGCTGAGGAGTTGGAAACACTGTGTCGTGAACTTGATGCTGCCCAGGCTTGGGCCTCTTCCTCTCCATGCGGTCGTATGGTGGTTGTGCACGGTGACTTCAACTTTGGGAATGGCTATGCCCTCCGCGTTCAACGTCATGAGCGCGCGGTAGCGGTTGGGCCCCGCAACCATCGGAGGCAAGTCGCGCGGTGGATGCGTTCTTTCGGCCGTTTCATGGAGGTCGCATCCAGTGCTGCTACGCGCTATGCGGCTTCCTCTAATTCGCTCAACGTTCTGGATCGATTCTTTTTCTCTGTGCCTGGTTGGCTGTTATGCCAGCTGACGGTCCAGGCGCGAGTGATTGGTGACCCGATCGAGCTATCTGTCGCGAAGATGTCGGACCATGCGGCTGTGATGACGTCTATCTCGGCGAGATCTATTTCACCGCCGTCCGAGCGACAGATTTCAAAGTTTATCTTTGCTCTTCCGTTCTTCAAGAAGAGGCTCATGGGCATGGTCGAGGATGGCGACCGTGCAATAGAAAAAGGTCTCGCCAGCTACGTATGCCGAGCACTTCAAGGTCATGCTTAAAGAAGCTGCGCGAGAATTACGTGACCACCTTCTCACGCACCGTCGACGAAGTGACGAAGTTGATGTATTGGCCGCGCGCAGCTGCGCGCGTGTTGTTTGGCGCCAGGATGTAAAATTGGCGTTGAAGCTGATTGAATCTAATGCGATGGCCTCTGCGATGCTGGTCGTGGACTCGAGCGGAGTCACGCTGCGACGCGCGGAGTCGTTCCACAAGTCGACGGATGACGTGCATTGCCGCTCTTTGGCAAATGAAGCCTCTGCATCTCTTGCCACGTCATCTTCTTCCTCTCCATCCTCGTCTCGGTCATCACGTAAACGTCTGCAACATCTTGAGAGGAAGGCCGCCATATGGAGCCCAATCTTGAAGAGGCTCCTTCTCAAGGCTATTGAGCGGGGGGATGGGGGAGCTGTTGAGGAGGTTGATCGCTTTTTGGCTTTGGAGTCATGCTGGAAATCGGTGTTCTAAATCTGACTTACGTAAAGTTGTGGCGAGGGCTCGTCGCTCTGCTCCTGGGATCGACGGACTCCCTTATGCTGCGTGGGCTTCTGCCGATGTTCGTCTAGACGTGTTGTGCAACTCGTTGGACTGGCTGTTGAGTGGCCAAGTACTATATGATTCGGCAAGTGTTACCATCCAGACTTTTCTGCCTAAAGGTACTGATCAGCATGGTGAGTCGGGCGGGGGTTGCTCTCGGTCAGCTGACCGAGTACGTGTCCTGGGGTTGCGCAAAACTGGTGTTAAGATATTGGCAGCTGCCATGAACAGGTCCATGCGACCCCTAGTTGACAGCGTAGTGCCGTGTGTTTAAAGGGATTTGTTTTGGGAAGGAAGTTTGGCTATAATATTCTTGAATTGGCTGGTCTTGGGGGAGTTGCCGCCTCGCGCCCACTTGCCTCGTCTCGTTTGCCCCTGCTCGTCTCTTTCGACTTTGGCAAGCGTTTCCCAGCATACCGCAGCAGTTCATATATGAGGTTATGCGTCACCTTCATCCTCCCCCGCCGCTCCTCGTGTTTCTCCACTGGCTCTACGATGCAGTGCAAGGAGTTGTAGCATCGGGAGGTATCTTGCGTCGCAGGTACTGGATTCGGTTTGGTATCTTCCAAGGGGATGGGCTCTCAGGAACCTTGTTTGCCTTGGCCACGGCCCCATTTATCATTGATTTTGAGAACAACATCGACAAGGGAGATCGGGGGACAGTTCGGGCGTGTGCCGGCGATGTCGGGGCTGTGCTATATGAGACTTTGCACGTGCGGGTACTGTATCGGATCATGGGTCTCTGTGAGGGGCTTGCTGGGCTCTTCCTCGAGGTTTCCAAATGCAAGGTGGTACCTCTGTGGGCTCCCTTTGGGTCTATTGATGTGAACGCTCTCCGTGGTAAGATATTGGAAGTTGTCCCCTCTTGGGTGTCGCTCGACATGGTGGAGTCCTTGGTCTACTTGGGCATATTGCTGGGCCCTGCTGTTACGGTCGACGTGGTCTGGGAGGATGCTCTTGTCAAGCTCAGAACGAGATGCAGGCTACATGGGGCGTCTTCGGCGCCGTCGTCCATCAATGGGGCCCTGAGCGGTTCTGGCGTTGCCTCGGTATGCTCCTTTGTGGCTCAGTTTGTTCCTCTACCTAAGCGTCGGGCATCTATGGAGCTGGGCCTTCTGTCT